ATATTTGTTGTCTGTCATTGTAGCTGGGATAATTTTACTTATTAAAGCTCATAATCTTACCACTTGAAACATCACTAGCCCTGAAGCTGCTGGTAGACACCGTGGTTGGAATTATCAAAGGTTTTTGACCCCTGAGAGACACCGTAGCAACTCCTTTGCGTTTGGAATGGGGGTGGGGGTGGGGGGAGGACCAGGGAGGATGATTCAACCACTCAACCACTAGATGTCGCTGAAAACAACAAATCTTACACACTGTGCCTTTAAGTACTTAGGTATTTTTGAAAGCACACACTCCAGTACTTTAACTTAAGTAGTAATTTTGTAGAGCTACTTTTACTTTTATTGGAGTAATATTTGACCAGTAGGGTCAGTTTCACCACTGCTTAAATCATCTTCCCAGAAAACTTTTTTTTTCCAAATCCCCACCGCGAAGTGTTTTCTGGACAGCAACAATAGAAAATAGTTTTCTGTAGTAACAATTCTTTTCAAACTGTCTGTTCAACGTGGRATTATTGCTTCTGCTTTTCAGATGTAGAGGTGTCAGAGGTCATGCAGCCGAGCTGTCAGAGAGCAGAATCAAGACTGATTTGAGGAAAAGAGCAGCAAGATGATGAACGTGTGGCCTCAAGAGGACATGCTGCAGGAGCTTCAGCTGCAGCAGATGATTCTGCAACAATGACTTCCTAATTGAAAGCACACGCTGATGCAGCACCACTCCACCTTTGTTGTCAGCATGAAATTACAAAGGTGGGAGATGGAAGCACATGGAGGACAAAATCTGTTTGCAAGATCCGTATTTTATTCTGGTCTTCTTTTGACGYTTCGACGTAGCACAACCTCAGGAAGAAAAAGCTGAATAAATCTTTTTTTTTCTCACAATGAGGTCAAACGAGGTCGTTTGAGAAACATAACAAAAAAAAGGACTTCGACTTGCTCACCCGAACACAACAACAACTCCATAGAGTTTCTACTATTGCATCTCTTTGTTGCTGATGTATTATTGGATTATAGATTGTTGCTTCCCACTGTGTGTGCATGTCATTTTAATTTCACATTTAAACTATTTGGGGTTTTCAAGCTCTGAAAGACTCTATTCATTGATTTTACTATCCTGAAAGCAGCTTGGTAGAGTAAATACAAAACATCTCTTCGTGCTCTGCCACCAGGTTTGGAGTGAGTTCAATTTAAAACAATATCTTAGAAACAAAAGCATCAATAGAATTAATAAATGACACCGGTGCCTTTAAGTTTAGGTGGTGTGGCGCTCCGTGTGGCCCCCCAGAATAAATCAATGCTGCCTAAATAAGCAGTGAGATCATTCAATTCAAATTCTCAAACATGCTGTACAGCCATAACATTATAAAGTGACCAGACCTGACAAATAAAACAACTTGCACCCAGAACAGTCAGAGCTCTTTCACTTGCAAAAGTAAAATCCTATAGAAAAATCATAAAATTTCAGCCGATTGGTTTATTCTTACAATAGACTGAACTTGCTACCTACAGCTCTGTTACAGAGGAGCAAACCTGCTCACCTGTTGACATCATATCTTAAAAATGATTTGGTGCAATTTAAACGGTCAGATGTGTACACTCTGTCAGAGCTGAACACTCACAGCTCGATCAGCCAAAACATATTTATGGTGCAAAGAGTGACAAGGGTCAAAGTGATGCTCTAACACATAACTGAGGAGACAGACTCTGGTTAGACTTCACGAAGTTAGTTAACCTGCAACAACAATCCAAACACACAATTCTATAGTTCAAAATATTTTATTAACTGTCTGGTAATGTTTGATATAAAAAATTAAATAAAAATCACACACAATGCAAGGTGAAGCAAAAAATAAAGTTGATCTTACTGGTAAAAGTCATATTTCCCAATCCTTTTATGTTGATGTCCAAATATTACAGCAAATCAGAGTTTCCTTGTTTATTTCTTTTCTAAGCCATGATTTCCTTTCTCCATGTGGATAAAAAAATCTAATTATTCACTAAAATAAAGATCAAAACACCAAGAAATCAAATGGGTATTTTGGTGTTTGTGGTGTCTTGTTGGCTAAAGTGGGAGTTACTTTATTAAATATATAAACAATAATTCCTTTTATTAAATCATTCAATGACCATCTGCGCAGTGCACTTTCTTTTTATTCACATTTCTGCCTTTTAATATTTTCCACGACATGCTTTATTGAAACCAATTTGAAATCTTCAGTCATTTTTTACGCTTGTTTTAAAGAAAAGGCATAAAATGCTCCATCGCTGTTTAATTTATGAGTTTACAGCTGCAGCTCAACACTAAAGCTGGCAGTATGTTTCTTTTTGTTTTCAAATTTCATGAATGTCTTTAACTTTATTATCTTAATATTAAAAAGTATATGCAAGTGTCCTTTAAGTATATTCATTTTAAACAAACAAAAGAGAGTAGCTATACTTTCACTTTAATTTACTTATGAGAGAAATATTTGGCTTAAATACTAAAAGTACACTAAAAGTGTACTTGGTAAATAAAAATACACTTGGGAAAATATACTTTGCTTTAATGACATGTACTTGAACTTCAGCTCCACTCTGTGAGTTCATGAATTTATGACAAGTTTTCTGTTTTTCTTCACACAAATCTTTTGTTTAAAATAAACAAATAAATCAAACTTGAAGCCATGTTAGAAACTTTAAATCCTTAATTTCTAAAACACAAAGCCAGCAGCCACAGTCAACTCCCAGAACAATAATAAAAAAAAGTGCATAAAGAGATGCTGTGATGTTTTTACAGAACTCGTGTGATGCTTCCTACCGTCCACAGCCATGCTCGGTGTCTGCCTGGACCTCTCCGTGGTGTCAGCAGGACTCCCTCATCCTTCCTCCCGGACAGATAAGAGAGAGGAAATCAAAAGGCGCCTCCTGATCCTGCTTTTAAACCTGCTGTGGGAGCAGGACGTCTCTCTCCTTCTCTCTCTCTCTCTCTCTCTGTTGTGGTCCGGGGACTCGGGACCGGTCCGATATGATGCTGCTCGCTGGGAGAGTCTCCGCCTCCACCCCTCCACCCCCTCCTCCTCTTCTTTCTCCTCCTCCTCCTCTCAGTACCTGCCCGCTGGGATGAGAAAGGTCAGCCCGCCCCGACAGCAGCTGGTTCTGGACCCAGACACGCACAGAAACACAGTGGGTTTTTATTAAACCGGCAGCTGCCGTGCAGACATTAAAAAAAAAAAATAATAATAATAAATCTGAACCTTTTATTCTGAAAAATATTACAGGAAAAACAACTTGTTTCAATCAAGTGCGTGCTGATAGCATGGCATACGAATACTGCAGCTCAACACAGCAGAGGTTTCTATAATAATACATTACAGACAAAATAAATGAAAAAATAGTAATACGAAATCAACATCAAGGAGCCAAAATAGGAGGGGAAAAACTAATCAAAATTTAGGCCATTGCAGGAACAAGCTAGAATATTTATTGTGAATAAGAGTAGCCCGTGAAATCTGATTGGCCGCCCTGCCTGGCCACTCCCACCAGAGCTGTCAATCACTTTGTTCAAATACAGACAGACATAGCTGTCATAATCCTTGAGTATTGTAGCCTAAATATTATACAGAAACTTGTAATTACTGCAATTCTTACATTGAAAGCACAAGCGCAGGCAGACAGTCTCTGGTCAATCCATTGGTTTCTGTAAAAGCATATGTAGGCTACTATGAAAGGCCGCTACTTCCGCCCCCCTGGTTTAATATTTCTGGTACGCAAAGCAAAAACCAGAGATTTGTTCATTCAGAGAGTCATTCATTGCTCATGATAACAACAAAACCAGTTCATTTTCGTTTTAACTGATGGCTTGAATAGTTAGATCATGAGTTCGGGTTCAACTCGTGTTTCTGTTGGCTGCCACAAAAATTCAAAAAAATTGAGAAATACTTTAGAAACATTTGCCTGGAACAACAAGAATAGTAAATGGTCTGAAMTTGAATAGCACGTCTCTCCGGACCCCAAAGCACTTTACACTTACAGACATTCACCCACTGATGATGGTAAGCCACATTGTAGCCACAGCTGCCCTGGGGCGCACTGACAAAGGTCAAGCACCAGCACCACGGGACCCTCTGACCACCATCAGTAGGCAAGGTAGGTGAAGTGTCTTGCCCAAGAACACAWCGACTGAGTCGGCTGGACAGGGGATCGAACCGGCGACCTTCCGGTTACAGGACGACTCCCCTAACCAGTTGAAGAAGTAGAAGAGGTATGCACACCCTGGTCCAGAGCTCTATCTAGGCTAAGACAGGCCACTAAATGTGGCTCATCTGGAAAGAAAAGCATATGTTGAATGATGTTAGCATTAGCGCTAGCTGTATTTTTAGCCTGATGTGTATTGTGATATGATATGTATTATGAGTAGAGGTGCAATTTCAGGAATATGTGGATAGTGAGGCTGTGATGTATCCAAATTTCTATTTGTGTTCTGGATGTCCCAGATTTTAAATGGGCTGTAAAATAGCATGCAAAACACATGCATGAGTTATATATGGGTAAATACAAAGTTTTATTATTCAAATTTTGGTGTACTGTTCATTACAGTCTAAGACTGCAGGGAATTCAGATAAAACAGTAATTTTACTGTGCCACCCTTTTACAGTCTGTACCCCTGCCTGCCCCCCCCCCCCCCCCGAGAAAAAATCCTAGACACGCCCCTGCACACAATGGCAGACTGAAGAGTGAGGTGAAACAGAAGGGTTGATGAGGAAAGTGGGGACTACTGAGCTTAATGAGACAGAGAACAGGTGTGAATGGGTTTGACAGGATGTAGGAGCAGAAGCTGAATGGAAAGAGTTCTGAGAAAAAGGAAATTGATGGCACAAGGAAGCACAGAGTAACAAAACAAAAATAAACCATAAAGACATACAAAAGACTAAAAAAAGTAAATATAAAACAAAGTAACCAAAAAATAAAACAATAAAAAAACAGATTCTGACAGTCACATGTCAAATGTATGTTTATCATAATAAACTGTAACACTTTAGTTTCAGAATGGTAAATGCAATCTGAGATATGAGAATAGGAGAAAAACGACAGGATTTTCAAAAATGAGAAAAGTAAACAMAGAAGTTCATTCTCTGGAAATCTCTCCTCAAGGTCTTCTTTTATCAAATAATGGCACCCATAAAAACACATATTTACAGAAGACTGGCATGTTTGCAGCTTAGAAACTCACAAACATGAGTCAATAAATTCTATTCATTGCAAGTTTCACTTGAGAACAAGTAAAGACAGTGRACCACCAAACTAGACCTACATTAGKGGGGAAAAATAACAAAACACATGAATGCATCCAAGAATTCTTTGGAGAGACAGCTGGCGGACTACCTGTGCAGGTTTTCTTCTTTACTGGTGATGTTTTTGACTATTTCTGTGTTTCAGAGTWATTTCTTTTTAATTCAAAGGAGTTTTCTTAAAACAAAGTTATCAAGTGAAACTCTCTGTGGGCTTTTTTAAGTAAAAGTAGGACAATAACATCAGTATTTTGGCACGGCAAAATTAATTTAGACTTTTTTGTTTGTTTTTTACAGAATAGTTAGTCAAATTGTTAATGAACTGTTACTATGAACACAATGAAAACACGTGCACACGTTGGCTCAGTTGGTAGAGCTGTTGCCTCTCAGCGAGAAGGTTGCTGGATCAAATCTTGGCCCTGGGATCTTTATGGGTAGAGTTTGCATGTTCTCTCTATGCATGTGTTGGTTTTCTCCGGGTACTCCGACTTCCTCCCACACACCAAAAACATGACTGTTAGGATAAATAGTAACTCTAGGGTCCCTCGGGTGTGAATGGTTGTCTGTCCTTTGTCTCTGTGTGTGTCCCTGTGATAGACTTATGACATGTCCAGGGTGTRYCCTGCCCCTCACACTGTGACTGCTGGATATGGGCATCAGTGACCCCCATGACCCTGAAAGTAAGAAGTGGGTATAGGTGGATRGACATGCACATACATTTATTATTTTTTTAAGTCTGGATATGTGAACATTGTTAAGGTGCTCCTATATGCTTTTCTTCATGATAAATATGTAATTTATMCACACTATAACTTGTGATTTTTATCTTTTGCAATGCTCAATAAACATTTTATGTGTCTCGCGTCATTTTCTGTCTGTTTCCTGCCAGCAGCAGTTTCACTGTTGGTGGATGGTTTCGTAGTTTAGAAGATGACTGATTTGTTTGAGTAAACTGAACATCACATAACTGCCATCTGAACTTCAGAGTAGTTTGTTTTATTATTAAAAGAAGAACACCACTGAAGGCTTTTCATGGTGCATAAAAAAAAACCTTTTACTTTTCACCACACTAAACTTGTCATGGATTCAATTTTGCCAACTGCCTTTATTTSAATAATTTGACTGGCTGAAAATAACCCGTGACAGATAGCTTAATGAAAAGTGTGGAGGCTACTTATCATTCATTTTTGTTTTACAATTAGAAATAACTGTTTTTTTTAAGTATCCGGTTGCTGTTCAACTTGAAATACAAATGGAAATGCAATGAAGTGAAGTAATTGTAAAAGTGTCAGCCCAAAGGGGAAAAAACTGAAAGAATTAACATTATAAAAGGCTTGGTGACATTGGAGTAAAATAAAACTTAGACTTTAAATTTGAGAATTTGAAAGTTATACAATTAGCATAGATTACAATGTGTCTGTTTCAATGAAAAATCTATATATGATTTGTAGAAACTGAATGGAAACACAACTTATTGTTTTTACATGACCACAGTTGCTGTTTAAGTTTTCGCCAAAAGCTTTTTKAATTTATTTTATTTTATTTTATTTTTCAAACAAATGTCACCCTGTACTATTTGAAGGATTACAAACTGGGTGCATGCTTGTTTTTTGACAGTTAATCCCTGCTCAGGTTATCAGTCACCTTTCATTCTAACAGAGTAAAACGTTTCTCTGCAAACACACATCCAGAACAACTTACCTACAAAATCTTTAAAAAGCAGAACTCAGATCTCGTAAAGTAGAAACACAATTGACAAGCTTTCAGCTATCCAGGTAAGGCCAAGTCTCAAGCTAAAAGAAAATTGACAGCAGTTTGCACRTTTTAGTTTAAAAATACTTTATTTTTGGTTTTTTATATACCGACATGAGGGATGGGCAACTGGCGGCTCTCAGATTACTGTAATGTTGATTGTAATGACAAAATTTGYCACTAGATGACACCAGCTTGTCCACAAGTCTTCTCTAGTAGTRGTGGTACAGTATTTAKTTTRGGGKTGGGCAATACTAGGAATTTCRGTAYCGATCAGATACCAAATAAATGCAGGGCTGGTATCACTGATTCCAATACTTATCATGTTCATTGAATAATTTTGTAATTTTGCCTTTAGTTTGTCAAAAAATGATAAAACACAGGACAAAGATTTTAGGCAAAAGAAAATGTTTTATATTAACTATAACTACAACAAAATAAAACAATGTAAAAGTATAAAAATAATGAAACAATCTCCCCATATCTTTTACTACACACAATTGTTTAAGAAAACACTTTCACTAGTGGAAAATAACAAAAAAGAAAAATAATGCAGGAAAAATCTAACTACAATAATAATATCACTAACAACAAAAATAATAACTTCCATTGAACATGGGCATGATGTAGAAAACTAATGACTAAMTACCATCTGGAGGCTTTGCTCTACCGACTTTATTTTCTCTATGAAAAAAAGTCAGTGAAAATAAAGTGTAAACAAAGGTATCTCATCACACTATTAGTGGTCTGATAAAATGTTGGTATTGATAGTATTGATAGTTAAACCGATACCACTATTCTCTACCGGTGAGGAAGAGACAGAGGAAGGAAAATACTAGACAGATAAAATTCATGTTTCAGGTGAAATGGGAGGTAGACTATCTGTTCACAGAATTTTAAGGCAAACCTGTGTTTAGTCCACTTAGAGACACTGCCGCAATAGATTTTAATGTAAGTCGCCAC